GGGTTAAGATCCCCTTACCGGTCATCTTTAGAAAAAAAAAAGGTTGGTGTTAGAAAAGCAGACGTGTTCAGCTGAAGGGATGGCAGGCTGTCCCATCGCAAAGACTTACATTTGCTGAGGGGTTTTTAAAGGAAGGCTCGAGGGAATGGAATGTGGGAGGTGAAAAGCAGGAGAGCAGGAGATGTGAGTTACGAGGGGTCCGTGTCTATGGGTCTGGTACAAGGTCTTGCCAAGGCCTCATCTGGTTTCTGTTCTCATCTTCGCTGTTATCTCAGGACCCTGCAAGATTCGGATTTGCACCGGCGTACTTGGCTAGTGCCCAAGGTCAGCTTCAGTCATTTGGCCTTGATCAATTCTCAAAACTCTACAAGTCTCAAAGAACTATTAGCTTTGCACAGTACTAATTAGCTTCTCAGCCTTGTTTTCCTACTTAGCGAGCAAGATAAGAAAGTCAGGGATGGGAAGCAAGAGTGGAGAGAAAAAACTGTCCTTTTAAAAATCCTCCCCCCCGTATGCAGCCCAGGCAGCTTTAGGTCCCAACATGGCTTCGGTCCTGCTCACTCCAACAGTTCCAGTACAAGCCCCTGGGGTCTGTCATTGGTCCAGATTGGATTATGGGCTTATCCTCGCACCAATCTGAGTGGCTCTAACTGGCTACACCTGGGCATGTCCCCATGCCAGGGGTCAGCATTGGGGTCATCCACATGCAAACCATGTGTACCAAGAGTGGAGAAGGGACGGTTCCCCCAGAGAAAATTGAGGTGCCGTGACTTCATGCCGGGCAGGAAAAATTGTCACTAAACTTCCTTGAACTCATACTTGTACGTATACTTGCATATGGCTTCCATGCCTGCTTGTTCATCACATAGAACTCTTAGAGGCCCCTGCCTGGACAGCAGGAGGCAGGCATGCCTTGGGTCGGCACCGTGACCTTGTTACATAATGCAGTGGCAGGTCTCCCATGTGAAGCGCAGCATGTTGTTTCAGCTGTCAGCCCACGCAATTTCTCTTTCGGAACTACATATCCTTGCCTCACCTGTAGAGCCCTTTGTCGTTCTTTTCTGGGGTAAACTATTAATACCCTAAACCAATTATGAACATTGTCTTACCTTTAATTTAGCTGTCCCCTTTTCCTGCAGACAAGGCCACCAAATTGTTCATCTCAGACATCCCAGCAGCCCTCTTTAGCTTTGCAGGGAAGGCTGAAGTGATTGGCAATCATGGAGAGCAGTCTTCTGATTGCATGTGCTCTCCTTGGCCCCCAGCACACAAGAGGAATTGATGGCTGCCAAATGGCCAGGACCAGGTGAGTTTCACTGACAGCATCAGGCAGGATCAAGAGCATAGGCAGTTGGAATATGAAAATTCAGGTTTCCTGCAAGGACACATCTTATAGGTTTTCTTTCCTCAGCTCTTCCAGGGGACCCACCTCCCTCGTCCCTCTGGCCAATTTACCCTATCATGACAGCCCTACCATCGATGCCCTCCTCCAAACTGTGGTCTTCAGCCCCAGCATGTGCCACGCCCAGCCTGCTCACCTTTCCCAGCTCTAAGTACCACCGCCGACTTCCATCAGGACCCCTCAATCCCATTTGAGAGGGACAGTACAAACATTCTAGGACACCAAGTACCCACATACAAATGGCTTATGTCTTACTGGTCCTCTGAGGCTAATGAACAACCTAGAGCTATGGCTGTGAACATTTTTGATCATCCACATATCAAACCTTTCTGAGCATGCACCCCCAACCTGTGTATATTTGCTTGTATGTCATATGCACGTACTAACTTCAACTCTTTTTTATTCTTGTTTTGCAGCTGGCCGGTATGGGGATCTGAACCCTTGACCTTGGTCTAACACTGCGCTGTAACCAACTTAGCTAACCGGCCAGCCGAAATTTGAACTTTATAAAACACACACAAGGATAAATTTTTTTAAGTTTTAAAATACATTTAAACGTAAATATATTTAAGTTATTACAATTATTTTTCTGAAAAATTAAATGAGATGCTATGGGTTGTTGTTTTGTTTTGTTTTTTACATCCCCAGCGATGTGTCTGTGCACCTCCCTGGGGCAAGTACCTCCGACTTTGGGGATCACCGACGTCCATCACAGCCGTGACAGGAGGGTCTTTAGAGCAGTGCAGACTGCAAGCTTTGGGAACACACAAATGCCCTTTAACTCGGCACTTGTTCACCGCCTTCCGACGTCCTTTCTACAGCCTCCCACCACCTCTTTTCCCGTCTTTCTGCCATCTGTTTCCATTCCTTTTCCGTGGAGCCTCCGGGCCTTGCTGGTGGCGCCAAATAGTTTTGAAAGGTGGACAAGTCCACTTAATGCTCCACAGTATAGAACCAGGCGTTCGCTCAATGCCTCGACGAAAGATGGGGAAACGGCACAGAGCCTGTGGGCCCGGTCGGTCGGACTCGGCCCTCGGGCCCCAGGGCCGAGCGCCCTCGGCGGCGACGTGGCCAAGACCCTCGCCCCGGGATCCCGCCCCTAGCAGCAGCCGACGGGAGTCCCAGGCCTGCTAATGGCCGACCCTGTGTCCCCCCTCCCCCCAGAGGTGTCAACCTATTTGGGAACGCCTGGGGCCCCTTCCCTTAGCGGGTCGCCACAGCGGCGACCACGGAAGGTTCAAGCCCGCCGCTAGGGGATGAAGGAGGCCGGGGCCAGATCGGTACCGACCCCTCGCGCCGCGTCGGCTCGTCGCCCCCAGAGATGTCACATCCGGTTGGAACCCGACACGGCCGCCGGAGGTCCGCGGGCAGCCGCGGTGGGGCGGGGCCTTGAGGCGCGGGGCG